AGATTGGAAGCCTTTGCTCTGAGTGTCGGCAAACTTTTGCTCCAATTTGTGGTTTAGTCCTCTCTTTTGTTTAGAAAAAACTTTGTTTTATGCTTCTCCAGGTACTAGAAAAAGACTTTGAACAGCAGAAATCTGTTCGGGAACATGTGATACAGAATGGCCAAGAAGTTCTAGAGACAATGAAACCAGGGAAGGAGAAGGAAAATTTAGAGCAGATGCTCCAAACTCTGGAAACACGCTGGAACGAACTCTTTGATCAGATCAAAGAGCGTGGCGAAAAACTTCAGGAGATTGAGCCGTCCGCTAGCAGATACGTGCGCTGTTTAGAGCCATTTATTAACTGGCTCTCAGAATCGGAGGCACTGTTGAAAGATTGTGAAAAGATGCCTGAAGATGAGGATAGCGCCACGCAGCAGCTTGAGATATTGGAGGTTGGTAACGTTGTTTTGGCTATTCTGTTACAATTAAATTATAATTAAAGAGGAGCATATATGACGGGGCATATGAAATGGGGCGTACAAGCCATATATTTAACAATTATTCCACGAGTGCGCGTTGGATATGAGATGGTAGGAGCCAGCGAGGTGCGTAACGCCGAGTTGCCTATAATCATCTCATATCCATCAAGTACGAGTGGAATAATTGTTTTGTTACATACGCCCACAAAATCTCGATGAAACTTTGTAGAACAAACCGGAAAAGACAAGGGACTTCCGCTTTTCACATGTCGCACGCCTATTAGAACTGTCAACGCGCGAAAGGACTGGATGAATGAAAAATCAAAACATTAAGTGATGAACACTTTTAAAAACTCATCGGGATTGTAGGATTTTACACAGCAGGACAGCTAAAAAACCCGCAGATAATCAGGACAAAAACGAATTTTGAAGTGCAGCCGTCGAAATTACGGTGAATTTGGATTTTTGGTGTGGTTAGAAAAGGAAACCTATTCCCTCGGTCGCCATTCAGAAACTTATGCAAAGCTTGTTATGAAGTTGATTGAAGCCGCCAGCTGGTTTTGCTGAACGAGACAAGAAGCCTGGATCGCTGTAGTGAATATAGTTACAAATTAAATATATACTCTTATAAATAAAGAACAGCATATAATAAAGTAATTCCCAAAATTACAGAAAATATTAAGAGTAAGTTAATTATCTAATAATTAGTAATAAATAACAAACGATTGAGTATTGAGTATTCATATAATTGATTATTCTGTAAATTAATTAAATATGATTTAAGTAAACTTTTAAAGGTTCCTGTGTTATTTCATCTAATTGTTGAGTGAGGTAAAGAGTTCCACAATTTCGGTCCTTGGTATAAGGTTGTAAATTGTTTCATATTAGTTCTGCAGGCATGAAGACGGTTTGACTTGGGATATCTAGTATAATAACTATATATTTGATTTTCAGTTTGAAATAGGTTTTGAAAAGAGAGAGTAACTCTTGTTAAACTGATTTTTAGTTATACTTATTTTATAGACACTGCAGCACGAGATTCTCTTACATAAAGCAGACCATGATGCATTCCAAGAAACCTCCTCTCACCACACAGACCTGTGCAGTGACAAGAAGGTGACAACAGACTTACCTATTGTGTCGGAAGAGGTCACCTCTGCCGACAAACGCTGGGAGAAGCTTTGTGCAGGAGTGAATGATCGCCTTCAGTCTTTAGAGAATTTACAGGAGGATCTTCATCGCTTCCAGGTTGTCCTTCATGTTACAGAAAAGACGCTGCTCGAGATTGAGCAGGTTGTGACTATCGCGTACGTGCTGATTTTGGATCCGAACAAGGCAAAACAAGATCTTGCACAGGTTAAGGTAAGTGTAACAAAATATGAGACCAGAGTTCAACACTCAGTGAATAGGTAAATCTCCACTTGTTTGCCGCTCCAGTTTGGTTAAGTCAGGATTAGAGGCGGGTTGTAAAACAAATTTTAAAAAATTCACGAGGATTCTAAGGTTGACAAGTGTCAGTAACTAGTGAGTGAAATAAGTAGCCGTTGGCCAGTTTTCGAAAAGAATATCGATAGTAAATGCACGAAGTGAATTTTTTACTGCTATTTATTGTCACGGTGATAATTTCCCTTTTCATCCATTTGCTTTAGAAATATATTGTGCTTTTAAATAACCGGCGACCTGAGTTGAAAGACCTTGTAAAGTACGGGAGAGCCTTAACAGAGAAGACAGGTGTACCTAAATGGCATGAAAAGTCAGCTGCAGTCCATCTCAAGTATAACAGTTTGGAAGCCAAACTAAAAGATCGAGAGGGCACGATGGGCAGGATTGTGTTTTACACTCAGATTTACACTTCAAATACTAGACACGTTGAAGTCAACATTCCCAAAATCAAAGAGGAGATTTCTAATGTAGACCCTATCAGTTCCGAACCAGAGGAGATCCAAGAACAACTAAAGAAAGCGGAAGTGTTGCAAGCGACTCTTCTAGACGATCGCGTCTCCCTTGAGAGTGCTCAGGAAGCAGCGGATTGGTTGACTTGTAATTGTGATTGCGAACCTGAGCATGAAGAAAAGATGAAAGCCCGAGTTAGAGTTTCCAAAGAACTGTTAGACGAGTTCATCGCCTTGAACAACGACCGACAGAATACCCTTAAGTGCGCACTGGTGCAGTCCCAGGAGTTAAGAGACGCGTCAAATGATTTTATAATATGGTTGAATGCCGTAGAAGACAGACTTGTCGCTCAGCCTGCTGTCCAATCAGATACAGACTTCATCCGAGAACTCAAGAAGGATCACGTGGTAAGCTCTTTAGTGTTCTTTTCGTGCAGAAAGTGATCGCATTTGCATGTTTTTGTCCGCTTGTGAGGTGTCGCGTCTCTGAACTCATATAATTGGGGTTCCTTTTTTGAGGTATACAGTGTATTCGTCGAGAAGTTGATGTGAGTTATTTTGGGTATATGTATTTATGAATGCTTAGCAATAATGCATAAGCCC